AAAAAAAAACAAAACAACAAACTCACATGGTAGGTAACTGTAACACGGTAAAGACCTTTATGTCACAAGCACTGGTAGCACACCCAGAAGCGCCTGTAACTCACTGGAATTGAAAATACTTTGCATAACTCATTAATCTAATAGACATTAGTCATGAACATACCTGAAGTTCTGGCAGGTGTGTAAGCATACATGTCACATGCAGACATACAGCGACACCCAATGCATAAATAACACGAATAGCACAATAATGGTTTCTTCAAGTAATAAAATTAGGTCATAATGCCCTAGGCCTGAAAAAAGTAACCTGCGCAGAAGCTGAAGACATATAAGACAGACTTCCATTGTAGTTTAGGGATATGCTATATGCACTGAAATACATACACTATATTGCCAAAGTATTGGGATGCCTACCGTTACAGGCACATGAACTTTAATGTCATCTCAGTTTTAGCCCGTAGGGTTCAATATTGAGTTGGCCTACCCTTTGCAGCTATAACATCTTCAACTCTTCTAGGAAGGCTGTGCACAAGGTTTAGGAGTGTGTCTATGGGAATGTTTGACCATTTTTCCAGAAGCACATTTGTGAGGTCAGGCACTGATGTTGGATGAGAAAGGCCTGGCTTGCAGTCTCCACTCTAATTCATCCCAAAGGTGTTCTATTAGGTTGAGGTCAGGACTCTGTGCAGGCCAGTAAAGTTTTTCCACCCCAAACTCGCTCACCCAATGTCTTTATGGACCTTGCTTTGCGCACTGGTGCACAGTCATGTAGATACAGGAAGGGGCCATCCCCAAACTGTTCCCACAAAGTTGGGAGCATGAAATTGTCCAAAATGTCTTGGTATGCTGATGCTTTAAGAGTTCCCTAAACTGGAACCAAGGGGCCAAGCCCAACCCCTGAAAAACAACACCACACCATAATCCCCCTCCACCAAACTTTACACTTGGCACAATGCAGTCAGGCAAGTACTGTTCTTCTGGCAACCGCCAAACCCAGACATGTCCATCGGATTGCCAGACAGAGAAGCGTGATTCGTCACTCCAGAGAACACATCTCCACTGTTCTATAGTCCAGTGGCGGCGTGTTTTACACCACTTCATTTGACAATTTGCATTGCACTTGGTGATGTAAACCTTGGATGCAGCTGCTTGGCCAAGGAAACCCATTCCATGAAGCTCTCTATGCACTGTTGTGCTAATCTGAAGGACACACAAAGTTCAGAGGACTTTAGCTATTGGCTCTGCAGTTGGCCACATCTGTGCACTGTGTGCTTCAGCTTGCGCTGACCCTGCTCTGTCATTCTACATGGCCTACCACTTCATGGAGGAGTTGCTGCTATATATATACACACACACACACACACACACACACACATACACATATACATACATACATACATACACACACACATATATACACACACACACAAAAGTATAGGTGAAATTGCTGCAACCAACATCCAAGAGCAGGGGTCTCCAAACTTTTTAAATGAAGGGCCAGTTTACGGACCTTCATACTTTAGGGGGCCGGACTGTGGTCATCAGGAGTACAAGATGTCCCAACATCAGTGGGCATAAACAATCCCTCATCATTGGCGTCGTTGGAAGGAATTGTGCACCATCGTTGATTTCATTGGGAGGAGTTGTGCACCATCACTGGTGTCATTGGGAGGAGTTGTGCACCATCACTGGTGTCATTGGGAGGAACTGTGCCATTCACTGGTGACAGTGAATAAAATAGTGCCCCAAGGGTCAGATAAAAGCAAGCAAAGGGCCACATCTGGCTCCCGGGCTGCAGTTTGGAGACCACTGGCCTATAGGTTGTAACCAGTGCAGTCCAGAAGGACAAGCACCTGTGAGGTAAATACCCAGACATCAGTTCATTAAAGCATTAACTGGATTAATGGATTCTGTGAACATATTGTGGACTGGAAAAACACAGCAATATTGATCTAATATAAGCAATCACGCAAAGATAAGACACTTTTTCTTTCTGCATGCCAAGTGTCTCATAGTGCTCCTTAAAAGGTCATAAGGAAAGATTAAACCTTTAAGATTTAGTATCTATGTCCTGCATTCCTATTTCTGCTGGGGAATTAGCATGCTTACAAAAAAAGAAAAAAAAAAAAAAAATCAACATTCACTATAAGAGATGCCTATCATCATGGGGAAGTGCTGCAACTATAGGAAAACTGGTGACAATGCCACATCCTTTCCCCAAGGAGGCAGACTCTGGGGAATGTCCTGGATCTCATCGATCACGGAGCCGAGGAGGGAGCTCCAGGCAACACCCTTACCCATCAAGAGGGTGGTCTAGGGGAACTTGAAAAAAAAAAAATAAACAGAAGTCACTGTTCACCTGTCCCAGAAACCAACAACCAGGGGAGGTAAAGAGGAAAGATGATGAAGCGAGACCAAACTGCATGACCCTGAGCCCCATTCTCGGAGACATTTCCATCTATAGAAAGAAACACAACTGCGGACCAATTTGGCAGGACTTCCTTTAAAGTATTGTTTTTTGGCATGCATTTCCCTGTTTCTGTTGGAGGACGTGCCAATCTCTCATGCGGTTTCCTGGAATATGGTTTGGGAAAGAAGGATTACAAATTTCACAACAATATTTGATCTATGTTCCTGGGAGACCTACACCGCATAGGCATATTGTTAAAAACGACATCACAAGACCAAAAAAAAACACAAGGCTCAACAAATGTAGTTGCCAGACCAAATACTGCCTCTACCTACAGCATGTTTTGCTTGTATGTGCCAATCAGAACATTAGAGCTTTGGTGCAGGCATGGAATGGATACATTATAACAAACATGTTATAGGACCCACGTAGTAGCTTTTTTCCATAAACTTACAATCCTTCAGAAAAGCAAATTACCAACTCTTATAACAGGAAAAAGTTTTTTACACTGCCTGTTGCAAACTATAAAAGTGTTCTTACTGAAGGTACACTACTGAATGCTGTGTGATCATGTGCAATCTGCATCATTCAAGAGGTTGGAGTTATGTCTGAAAAACAGTTTGTGTTTAAAAGGAAGTGTTAAATGTTCAAGTGTTTCTAAACCCAGAAACAAAATTTTATATATTGCAGCTTACCAGCTTGTAGATATAGTGGCTGCATTCGTTTTCTTTTATCAGCCTTTTAGATTCACCTGGTACTCCTGCAAACAACACATTTCCTGTCCTGGAGCAACTACTCCTCCACTGTATCTGTTTATCTATCTATGGAGACAGCCATGGTTGTCACGCAGGCTGATCTTCAAAAAATGCATCTTCCCCATTTCATCTTCATTACATGGGAGTAGGAAGGATTAGCAGTTTACAGAAAAAAAAAAAAAAAAAAAAAAAAAACCACAACATTGATGGAACTTCCAGTTCAGCTCACAGGAAGTGACGAAATTCTGCATTTCTATAAAGAACAGATATTTTCTATACTTGCTAAAAATGTTTAGTCTGAATTAAAAAAAAAAAAAAAAAAAAAAAAAACTGAAAAATGCCAAATCATTTTTTTTTTTAACATTCAAAGCAAACTCACCCATTCATTCATGTATCCTTGCTTTATTTTGCTGAGAAATCACTTTAAAAAAAAAAACCTAACATTTCTGTCTGTGGCTATCTAGAGTAAGGGCAGATGATCCATGTAGCATTTACTTTGTGGAATCCATCTGCCCTTGGCTCAAACATGCAGGCAGGGGAATGTGCTTAGCTGAGAAAACCACTCCTCCAGATGAAAGAGAAAAAAAAAAAAATCCCATGAAGACTCCTGTGACATCATTTTGGCCTATGCCAGAAACCAGGAAGCAACTGAAGAAATGTAAATATAATACACAGTCCTAACTACTAATGATAGCAGCATCAGGAATAAAATTGTTACATTTGATTAAGTGAGTTTGGTTCCACTTTAAAACTAATGCAGCCACCACATCTGAGGACTGGTAAGCTTTGTTTTGTTTTTGTACCTAGTTTAAGATGCCTTTTTAAGGTTCAGCTGTTATTTTTTTTTTCTGTTCAAACTGCAGAACCTTAAGACACAGAGTTCTGGAACTTAAAGCTCACATCTACAGTGTATATCTTAGAGATCTGTACACGAGATTATCTCAATTAGCTGCAATAAGACAGGTTGTCCTAATAGTTTTCACTTTAGTACAGTTCATCCAAAAATCCCTCAAATGAGTTGTCCTCATCTGGGATGGTAAACGTGCAGCATCCAGCAGATTACTGCATAAAAAAAAGCAAAGCTTTTCTGCTACTTTGCAGCAAGCAAGAATGTAATGTAAGTAAATGTTAAATGCAAAGTTCACTTTTACACACATTTCCCTAAAAGGTCCCCAAATATACTAAAATGATGTCCCCAAACAAATGCCTACCTCTTCAGCTGCTGACACTGTTTTTCTCCCAATCCATCCTACAGATGGCATGGTGCACCAATCCCCATATGTGCAGCCCCAGAAATCCATGAACAAGCACTTGTGGCCTTCCTCCCCTCCTAAGAGTGTGAATTCTTGCTCTCCTTTACTCACAGAAACGTTGAGGTGCAAAAGTGAGCATATGGGGAGAGAGGCTGGGAATGTATGTTTGTGGATTTTGGGGGCCGCATATATAGCCCTGGGTGTGTTCTGCCATCTGCAGGATGAATTGGGGGGGGGGGGGAGACAACAATGTCAGAAGCTGAGGAGGTGGGCATTTGTTTGGGAAATGGAGCAAAGCTTTTAATATATTGGGGGGACACTGTGGTTTATGGGGACCGTTTAGGGAAGTGTGTGTGTGACAGTGAGCTTGCCCTTTAAAGCTGCCACCTGACCGAATACTGGTCTTTTACATTATTATGCAAACAGTGTTCTCCTTCCTGAGGGGTATGGATGTTTCCCCCTAGGTAGTACAGAGTTGGGATGGACAAATTTTCCCTCTCTGTATTTATAGGGACAGATCCTAATCATAAATCAGTTTTCTTGTGGCAAACATTTTTAAAGTACTTCTGAAAATACACATACCATTTTTCTGTTCTTCTGTTAGTTGCTCTTTGGGAAAGTCAACATCAAAAGTGATAATCAGAGAACCTTTGATGTTATTGTTGTCGAAATTTGGCAGGCCTTCTCCCTTTTTCCAAAGTTTTGCTCCAGGTTTAGTAATTTTATCACGCATTACGTGAACCTAGTTATAAGATAAAGAAAAAATTTTGTATGTGGCATACATTTTGTCACTTTTCTTTAACTGAAAATGCAGTTATGGCTTTAAAAGAAAAACACATTACAAATTAATCAGTCAACTGCCTCAACAGGTTTCTGGTTTCAGTTTCAGTGCACAATAACTAAAATGATTCTGACGTGATCAGTTAAAGCCAGAACCTGATCTGGCCTAAACATTTTCAAGGAAATAACAGAACTGAACTGCAGCTTCTCTCTTGTTGCCTGCAAGTACCTGTGCTAACAAAGCTGAACATTCAATTCTAGGTACAGCTTGTAAAAGTGGGACTTGACCAGTGTATAAAGTGAATCTTCAGCCACAACTTTTCTTCCTTCTTAATAAAGCTGGAAAAGGCTAAAACCTATTTCATGTTGTTAATGCTGCCTGAGACTCTGTTGGGGAGACTTCTCCAATCTCCTGTCTGTGAGATAACGTTGTCACCAGCAAAACTAACATATACATTTTCCTGGGACTTTTTAAGTAGATGTTAGATAAAACAAAAAAAAAACACAGCAAGTCTTAAAAATATCCAGATTTTTTATTATAACTTGTATTAAAAACGAAACTAAATGCATTTTACAATAGACTGCAATCAGGCAGGCTATCATCGCAGAAGAGACAATGTCCCTTCTGCAATAAAATACATCTACCTGCCTGCTTGTAGTCTTCTGTGGCATGTAAACTCAGCTGTGCATGCAATGGAGATGAGCAACACTTAGGAACTCGACACTCGGGTTTATTTACTAAAGCTGGAGAGTCTAAAATCAGACTCCCTTCTGCATAGAAACCAATTAGCTTCTAACCTCAGCTTGTTCAATGAAGCTTTAGCAATGAAACCTGGAAGCTGATTGGTTTCTATGCAGAAGTGAGTCTGATTTTGGACTCTCCAGCTTTAGTAAATAAACCCGTCAGTGTCAAGGACTGACACTCAGGAAGAAGATGCTGGCACCAGTGAAGTACCTGGACTGTTAGAAAGGAAGCAAGTAAAATGCCCTTTAGTTCCACTTTAAAAAAACATCCAAATTAACCCTTTCAAGTTCTGGACTGTCTGAGTCACATTGCAAGTCAGAATTTGTGCTGACTGTTCCCTCATTACGAGATTATTCAGATATTCCACAATATTAATACCATAGGAAGCATAGGATGCCAATTATTGGTGAACATTCCAGGTGCAGAAGACAGACCTAACGGTAGGTCCACAGCAAAATGTAGGTAATGCTGATGTGCTGAAAAGATTGGGATATGCAAGTATGCATCCTTGATGTCTACAAAGGCTAGAAAGTCTAGCTGATGAAAGACCTGGTAGCAGAGCAGCAAGGGACAGTTAGGCAAACAAAGAACACTTCTACTTTAAGGCTCTGATCAAACTGCCATAGGCCCACCATCCTCTGCACTTGCCACTAGTATAAACAGCTGTAGGAGAACCTTGCTTTGACCTCTCTGCACACTGCAAAATCCTGCCAGAAAAATCTACCCCCAACCCATCCCCTGCCACCACTCAAGCAATGCTGGATTTTATGAGTAGGTGAAGATCATCCACACTTTTATTAGACTGTACACTTGCTGGAACTTTTATATATGTCAATAAAAACATTTGACTTACTTTATGGCCATCTAAATGAGTAATGTCCATTTCAAAACCAACAAGTGCTTCTACTAAAGAAATGGTAACATTTGTGTATAGGTCATCACCTCTTCTTTCAAATATAGGGTGCCTGTTTACAAATATACAAAAAGTAAGTAAATATATATATATATATATATATATATATATATATATATATATATATATATATTATTCTGTTTCAATACTTTTTTATTGTAATTATTCAAAATAAACAAACAAAAACAATAGACACAGCATCAATTTCCTGATCAAACAAAACATATAAGATCTGGGTACAGATAAGATTCAACAAAAATCCAGAGATGATGTACCATATATTACTTGATTAAAGAGCTATGACCAATCAAGAGATTCAAACATATTCAGCATAATTATAACTCCGATAACAGAATGTCCTGACAATTTAGGGATATTTCAGCGCATGTTATTCAGAGGACTACTGCCCATTTGATTCCATGTGCTTTAACCAAGCTAGTCTGTCATGGAGAATGGCTGACCTTCGTTCATCATAATCCATGTCAGCTTGAAAAAAATATATATATATATATATATATATATATATATATATATATATAATATTATATATATATATATATATATATATATTTATTAAATTTTAAACACCCCTAGTAATTATTCCTAATTCCTCCTCAAAAATTTTCAATGGTACCAGCTTTTTCATTTAACCATTTGCCGGCTCTTTATCAACTTGTTTCAAGCTCACAAATGCAGAAGCTGGATTCAACCAATTGTCTACTATGACGTTGCAAACATACCTTGGTAGACAGGTGGTTATACAGGACAGAATTACAGAAAGAAATTTATGCTTTTCGCATCTACAGTAACACTGCTTATTTCTAAAAAAGGATAAGTTCACCTTTTAACAAAATATAATAAATGCACTTTTTTTGCAGGTAAAAAGTGCATTTATTATTTTTTTGTTTTGGGAGCCTTTATAGCATTGCACCAGAGATCAGCAGATTGTTGGTGCCATTCAGGTCTCCTGCAGACCTGTCAGTATATCTGCTTGCCCGTGCGGGATGTATGGACAAGCAGATATACTGACAGGAAGAATTAATGAACTACCACATCGCTCACAGCGCCATGGTAGTTCATTGAGAACTACAAGCCCAAGGCTTTTTGATTACTTTAATCCTTTCTCACAGTAACCTATATGTTTTATACTGTCTGCTTTTAATTTTGCAACTGTTTACATACTTAGCATGTCCTTTTTGTAAAAAATATTATCAAAAGAGAACATAGGAGCAGAGTAACAGAATCAAATGGCTACCAGGGGTGATCAATAAGTTCACAGAACCACTCCATGCCACATGCAACCTGGCTGAATGAAGAACAGCAGTACATGGGACTGTGCAGGGGTTTATAAGACTTCTGAAGATAGACTTAAACAGTCTTTATCTTCAGCGTTTGGCATTGCAATCAATAACATACGACATTTCAATACTTATGTTTACTGCACCCCCTGTAGATCTGACATTTTTTCTTAGACTACAATTGGGCTTAGTCAACTGAATGCAGTATCGCCTTACTTGAGAACTTTGATTCGAAAACGCAAGTCACCTGGCTCTCCATCAATGTGTGGCTCACCTTAAAAAAAAATATTTTATAATAATTAGTAAAAAAAAACGTGTACATATGTATAGAAAGCATAATTAAACATAGTAATTACCTTCTCCAATGAAAGGATATTCCATGCCATCACGAACGCCAGGCTCAATCTCCACTTCTAAAGTTCTTTCTTCATTTACAAGTCTACAAAATAATTACAATACTGTTGAGGAACACAGAATTCTATCAGCAAGATTCAACACCACAATATTCTTGTGATGGACAAAGATCTTTATATGTACACAAAGATCCATCCTTATGTTACCATTGTTAGTGTTCAGCAACTCTTATCTACCTTTTGACACCTCATGCTTCACAAGCAGACATAAAAAAAAAAAAAAAAAAACGTTTAAGCTGACCATAGACAACAAGAAATTTGGGCAAATTTCAATTATGTATGGGCAGGCTGGTTGTACTGAAGTCGATAGCTCAATCGACCTCAGCGCAACCAGCCTGCCGGGGTTCTTTTACATTCAATTAATTTCGGCAGCTATAGTTATTGGCAGTGATGATTGTATCCGGATGGCTGGGAAACCTCCCACTGTCAGAATGCAAAAGCTCCGTGGGAGGGATTCCCAATGAACACTGAATGTGTTGATGGGGGAATAAAGCTATTTTCTTTCCTGCAACCTCTCAGTACTCACAAAAAATAATGGACACAGAAAACCTACAGAATGAATGGATCAGCCAAAGAACTAACACAGAGGCACTAGCAGATACACTGGTTTCACTGATTCAATAGTATATGATAGGTGAAGCTTTGATTTTCATATTATTTAACATAATTTCACCCATTTTCAATAGGTGGACTTACTTGACATTTGGACATTCATCACAAACAACTTCTTGAGTCATCTGAAAACGTCCTGGTCCAAGTTGTGTAGTTCTCATTTCTTGCCGGCAATTGCATTTACGTTTTCCAGGTGCTTGTCGTGCTACAGGCTTATTTCTTACAACCTAAAGGAAGGGTATTAAATAAATATCACACAGGGAAGAAAACATTTTACAGAATAGTATATACATATATCTTTAGGTGTTTAACGCTACATAGTAATTAAATGTACTCCAATAACTCTGCTATATTCTGTATACTCTCTGCCCAAGACTGAAGGCCATTTACATGAAAACGAGGCCCCATTCTCCTACCCAAATGATCTGATTACTATGATTTGGCAGGAATACCAACCAAAACTAACTGTCAATGCTTATGGATTATCCACTGAAGACTGGGGAAAAAAAAGAAAAAAAAGAAGAGAAAACCCTGCCAGTTTTCTATACCTAGAACATGTACTTTGACAAAGACGACACATACTATTCTGCCCCAGACAGAATTTGGTTCACCTTTTCCTGAGCCGCAAGACTCCTGGTGCCACCCTGGTGGTTGATATATGCCACTACTGTGGCACTGTTGAACCAAACCCTGACCTCAAACTGTGCAACTGGTTTGGCCAATAATCCAGAACAAGGCATACTGCCCGAAGATATTGATGGGCAGTATTCTCTAGTGTGGAGACCAAGTCCCCTGAGCTGTAGCCAAACCAGCCCCCCATCCCTGGAAGAAAAATAACCCCTTCTCCAGATTCCACACAAACAACCACCACTTGAGACTCTGCAATACCCTGGGAACAAAGCCCTCTGGCAATCCAAAGATTGGATCTTCAAGATCCAGACGGACAGACAGAATGCGCATCTGAAGTGGAAATGCACGTAGGACACTGCTTCAGCCTAGATACCATTTCCTCATGCAGAGATGTATCAAAAGGATATCTTTTGCTTCTTATATTTCGCTTTAACCTTGGAACTGACTGGTCCCTGAGCAAATGAACATTAAGGTATTCTGGTGTACCCCCATCCCCCCCGTGTCCTCAGTAAGCCCAGCACTATGAAATTTGTGAACACTCGGAGGGCAGTGGCCAACCCAAAGGGCAGTGCACCACAACAAAAATGGCGATTCCTGACTGAAAATTGCAGAAATCCTTGATGGGACTGAAAAAATTGGCACATGAAGATATGAGTCATTGAGGACTATGGACACCCGAAATCTCTTGCAGAGAGGCCACCACTGATCGGACAAATGCCATCTGAAACCGAAGGACGTCTAGACTTATGTTTAGTGCCTTGAGATCTAAGATAGACCTCGTGTCCTCGTTTGGATTTGGGCCCCCGAACTGGTTGAGTATATTGAGCCCATAACTTCTGCTCCAAGCAAAAATGCAAGGCAAAAGCCTGATAACTGTGCGACAAACCCAGAAGGTCCCAAGAGGCAAACTTAACCTAATAAGTTTCTGCCACTAAAGATTGAGCAAATCACTTCAGAGACTGCCCTAGCATCCTCTACCCATCAAAACACAGCAGCCTTAGACTCTGGAGGGAAAAAGCTTTCAACCTCCTTGGTATTGCCACGCAGTCTCTTCTCCAAGTACACTGCTCAAAAAAAATTAAAGGAACACTTTTTAGCATCACGTCAATTAAATTCCTGGGATATTGATCTGGTCAGTTAAGAAGCAGAGGGGGTTGTTAATCAGTTTCAGCTGCTTTGGTGTTAATGAAATTAAGAGGTGCACTATATGGGCAACAATGAGATGACCCCCCAAAAACAGGAATGGTTTTACAGGTGGAGGCCACTGACATTTTTTTCCCTACTCATCTTTTATGTTTTTCACTAGTTTTGCATTTGGCTAGGGTCAGTGTCACTACTGGTAGCATGAGGAGATACCTGGACCCTACAGAGGTTGCACAGGCAGTCCAACTCCTCCAGGATGGCACATCAATACGTGCCATTGCCAGAAGGTTTGCTGTGTCTCCAAGCACAGTTTCAAGAGCATGGAGGAGATTCCAGGAGACAGGCAGTTACTTTAGGAGAGCTGGACAGGGCCATAAAATTTCCTTAACCCACCAGCAGGACCGGTATCTGCTCCTTTGTGCAAGGAGGAACAGGATGAGCACTGCCAGAGCCCTACAAAATGACCTCCAGCAGGCCACTGGTGTGAATGTCTCTGACCAAACAATCAGAAATAGACTTTATGAGGGTGGCCTGAGGGCCCAACGTCCTCTAGTGGGCCCTGTGCTCACTGCCCGGCACCATAGAGATCGATTGGCATTTGCCATTGAACACAAGAATTGACAGGTCCACCACTGGCACCCCTGTGCTTTTTACAGATGACAGCAGGTTCACCCGAGCACGTGACCGACGTGAAAGGGTCTGTAGAAGCCGTGGAGAACGTTATGCTGTCTGTGACATCATTCAGCATGACCGTTTTGGTGGTGGGTCAGTGATGGTCTGCATATCCATGGAAGGATGCACAGACCTCTACAGGCTAGACAATGGCACCCTGATAATGGAATATCAGGTAATGGAATGAAATCCTTGGACCTATTGTCAGACCCTATGCTGGGTCCTGGGATCCTCCTGGTGCAAAGCTCGGCCTCATGTGGTGTGAGAATGCAGGCAGTTCCTGGAGGATGAAGGAATTGGTACCATTGAATGGCCCCCACGCTCGCCTGACCTAAATCCAATAGAGCACCTCTGGGACATCATGTTTCGGTCCATCCGATGCCACCAGGTTGCACCTCAGACTGTCCAGAAGCTCAGTGATGCCTTGGTCCAGATCTGGGAGGAAATACCCCAGGACACCATCCATCGCCTCATTAGGAGCATGTCCCAATGTTGTCAGGCATGCATACAAGCACGTGGGGGCCTTACAATCTACTGAGTACCATTTTCAGTTGCTGCAATGAAATTTGAGCAAAATGGACTAGCCTGCTGCCTAATTTTTTCACTTTGAATTTCGGGGTGTCTTTGAATTCAGTACTCTGTAGGTTGATAATTTTCATTTCCATCAAAGCGATGGGGCAGCCCTACGTTCCTAACACATTACCCAGTCCATATCAGTATAGATATCCAGTATTATATATCTTTCCTCATTGAGATCTGATACGTTTTCAAAGTGTTCCTTTAATTTCTGTGAGCAGTGTACTAACCAGTGCTTACCAGCTCGAAACCCAGCTCAACTTCCGAGTTCAGAAGAGATCAGGTGCGTTTAGGGTGATGCAGCTGCAGTTCATTGCAGCTCTGCCACCAGGAAAAGCTGCAATGCCAGACAAACGCAGAGGCCCAGATAAACCTGGCACCACTGGTCTATCGTAAAATGCGAACACCGCTAGATTGCCCCTAACTGCCCAAAAATGTAAACAAGCTGGCAGGTGGATCAAGCCTCATTTGTTTTGTTACACAAAGCTATGAGATTTTATTGCACAACTATACAATCCAGCGCATCATGTGGACCAGCCTTATAACCAATATAGTCATTGGTCGATAAGGAGCACATCGGGCACCTGCACAGCATCTTTGTTTGCCTTTCCCCTGATCCTCTCTGTCAGCACTGAGGTCATGTTAGCTGCATGAGAGAGAGACAAAAATGCTGGAATACTTGTCCGTACCAGTATGCAAAGGTATAATTAGTTTGTAAAAATAAATCACTTATAATGCTGGGTGTCCGAAAAGTGGGAATCCTGCTTCAATAAATAAAATTATTAGTTTCGTTTTTTAAAAATTTTAGAATAGGGTGCCTTGAGATTGTGTAGAATTTTAAAAAAGTAGTCTTCACTATAAAAACACAAAATCAAAACAACAAAAAAAAAAGTTGAGAAACACTGGTCTAGGAGTATATACTTTACATTTCTAAATTCTTTTACTCAAGTTACAGTCATTTTAAAATATTGCAAAGTGTACCTCTACAAAATTTCCAGAGTATACTTCTTCCAGTGTCACTTCAAGATCAATGATTATATCGCTGCCTCGTGGAACATTTCTGTCCTGTTGCCGTGGATTGCCACCAAACATGAATCCAAAGTCTCCAAAGAAGCTAAGAAGGAAAAGTTTTTACATTTTACATTTCTTAGGCCCCTTTCACACAATGAAGATTCTGTGCGGAATCCGTTCCGATCAGCAGTAGATCAGGACATAGATCCCCCTACTGAGTAGAGTGGGTGGATGACACATCTGTGTCCCTCAGTTTCTGCAGAGTGGACATGGACAGAGCCTGCTCTGCTCTATGGGTGGCTGGGAGTAAAATGACTCAGCCTGTCTGTTCACACCTAATTACCCCCTGATCTGACTAAACGGAATAGGACAGATCCCATTCTCTTTTTCTTTTTAGTAAACAGGATCGGACTGGAGACTTAGCTGGGTGTAAACGGACAAGTCAGTCTACACCTGACTGTCCATAGTGATGCATGGAACTTCCGATCAGGTCTGCCTGAAAAACTGATAGGTGGACCTGATTGGATTTCATATGTACTCTCCAGCACCTCAGGATATGCACAGCCAAAAGGAAAGCCAAGGGTACCAGGACAGTGACAACCAAAGGAAATGCTTCAGGGGTTGCAACGCTCCTCAGATGGGGAAATCAGCCACTGGATAGAGAGAAAACAGGTGGACCTGATTGGATTGCCTGTGTGAAAGGAGCCTCACAGTAATGTGTCACACAATACTTAAGCCTGGAATCTGAATGAAAGCAGCAATACAATATAGTACTGGCATTTGTGATGTGTGCAGGGAAACGTACTAAGGCAGTCTTCCAGAATCAGCACTGCCTTCCTAAAACAGAAAATGTTCACTCCCACAGTGAGCAGGGCCATGCAAATTACTCAACGCAAATTGCCGGCTCCAAGTGAGAACTGTGCGATCACATGATTGCTGAGTTCTCCACTCCACGCTGGAGCGCTGGGTTGTGGAGGGGAAGGGAGCGGCTGGCTCAGGCTCTCAGCACATGGTTGAGAGGCTGAGCCAGGTGCTGCTCCAGACTCTAGGGTGGATTTGGACCGACCGAGTAACGTCAGCCAACAGCGGGCTTCATCCCGATGCCAGCTGAAAATGGATCATAGGAGTGCAACACAAACTGCACTCCTGTGATCCAAAGGAGCTTTCAACTGGTAGGTCTGGATGCACAGTTCACTACATGGACTTATCCGGCAGAGGACAGATGCGGCATCGGTGCTGCATCCACCTAGGTAAGTATGATTAAAATACTATACTTCTATTTAAAGTTCAATTGGGGTTTAAGGATTTGTAATCTCTTCACAGCAAACAAACACTGAATGCAGCAGGTCAAAATCATGTTATTTAGATGGACTCACTGTGAGAATATATCACCATGAGAACTGTGATGGCCATCTTTAAGTCCTTCTTCTCCATATGCATCATACTGCTTTCTCTTTTCTTCATCAGAAAGTACCTAAATAAAAATTATGTAAATTGATACAATATTTTATACATGTATTCTTTATAGCAGGCAGGTTCTTTTAATCCGAGGAGCCCCAGAAGAAAATTGAAAATACTATCCAAATGAGTCTGAACCCAAAAAGAGAATTATTACAGAAATGGCAGTAATTTAAAAATCTATCCAAATGAAGTCTGTATAATATAAAAAACAAAATGCACAAACAGTTCTCCATGTTTTCTCATTTGTAAAAAAGGGAAACTGAAAAGCTAATATATTTATAAATATAACAATTGTAATTTAATACATAGAATAATACTGTAGATTCCAGAGAGCAATTCTAATTTTAAATGCTTATGCATATAAAAAAAAATATATATTTAAAAAGGGGAACTTCAGGCAACATAAAAACCTAAATTAATCTACTTCTGTATTTATCCGGATTTTTATCTCAAGTGCAAGCTGTGTTAGTTCCTACATTTGACTTGGAATCGCCTCTTGCAGTCCTTGTACAGCAGGGCTCAAACCTTTCTATGTAAGTTTCTCTGCCCCTGCCTTGCACAAGTTTCTGGTTCCCCATATGTGTCCTTTTTTTGTGCAGTCAGGCATAGAGTAAAAGTGATCATACAGATCAACATGGTCACCTCTCCACCTCCAGCATGTGATCCCCCCTGGACAGCAAGGGAATAATGCATGTGCCTTCAACATACCTGTTTGTTTCCAAGTGCTACCCTTTCCTCTCCCAATCTACTATTCTACTGACTTTTGGGGCGGTCGCCCGAAAAGAGCATAAACATATGCTGATATCACACAGTTTCAGGTTCTTACACTAAAATTAAACATTAACTTCATTAATGAGTGGTGTACTTATCTGTCTGGATGTTTTTGCTTTTCTGCGGGACTGCAGAAAGGGGTGCCTTGCCATTATGAAAAAAAAAAAAAAAAAAATAAATACGTCACGGGGACCGGAACAAAAAAGAGAGGCCTGATTAAGCCATCAATCAATGTTCTGAAGCTGAAGAGGAAGCCGCTGCAATACCTCTTCAGACTTACAGTAGAGTCAGCAGCACCTGGTGGGATGGCTGAAGGCAAAAACAAACATATTATGGATTGGCCTAGGTAAACCTCTGACCTGAATCTGTCTTGCTTAGAGCAAAGGATCAAAATTCATCTACAGTCACTTGAGATCCTGACCTCTTACCTTATGATTAAAATTGGAGCTGAGCTACAAACCAAGAAAAGTTCTTTACAGACACGAAGAACTAAGGCCAAAGAAAGACTGTGCAAGATATTGTTTTTTTTAATATATCAATTATATATTTGTCTGTATTTTATCTTTGACCTGACCCCTGCCCTTTTCACCAATGCGTGACAAAGAACAAGCTGATCTTGAACTGCGCGGTCACTTGCGTAACAATGCCACTCTCGGCTGCACCCTGCACAAAGATTTTCCAGCTTGTGAGATCACAATCTATGTGCCAGCAGCCTGAGAGCCATTATTACTGGGTCAGGTTAATTACACATTAACCCTTCACACTGCCACCACCACCTTTTTACAGAGAAGGAAGAAACTCACAAATCTTAGCAATAACACTATGATATTAGCATAACCGTCTGTAACACACACTGTCACCACAGACAGGGATATTCAGAAGATTATTGTATACAGTAGCACTCTTCAAGAGACAGTGATTCTTCAGGTTTGCATTAAAAGCTTTAGAGACAGTTTCAACACTTTTCAAAATAGGGTTTATTACTAAAAAGGTCAAAACGGTGCAATTAAAATATTTACAGAACAAGATGTTTGCAAAGACATAAAGAGAACAATAATGCAACAGAGAAATAAAAGAAAGGAGTTAAGAAGGCAGAATACTTGCAAAGTCCTGGTTTAGGAGAGTCCAATTTTCCGAGCAAAAATGTTGCCTTGGCTCCCAAGTACGTTAAGATGTTTCTTGACTGATGTTAAACAAGAGCTCCCTTCACCAGGTAAAAAAATGTGAAAAGACCTCCTGCGCTTCTACCCCCAATCCCTACAAAACTAATATAGCTGCCAACATCCAATAATATACCTAATGATTAAATGAAAATACAGAGAATAAATGATGTGGCGCTGCTACAACTAATACTACCTAAAAGTGGAAGATACTGCATAAAAATATAATATAAATAATTATATAGTGACAAACGCACAAAGTGTAAACCTGTTAATGCAAAATGCATGAATACCATGCAAAAAAAAAAAAAAAATATATATATATATATATATAAGATCCCCTAAAACAGGCAAGGAAATATCAAATCAATATCCACATGCTAAAAGTGCATAAATTAAATCACATGCCGTGAAAGACAGTGCGGTGACGCAATTCCGGTTTGGACACCATCTCTGTACACCCATGCAACTACACCCAGAACATGAGGTTTTTCCTATCTGTGCCTTATACAAGATGTAGGAAAATGTGAGTTTGCATTTGTGGAAATTTGATTGCTGCACTTTATTTTAATAAATGGTATTATACTATGGGAGCTTCTGCTTGTATTTCATAACGAGCATATTGGCCGCATTTCATGTTATTACAGGGAGAAGAGGTCTGCCACCATTTTACCTACCTGAGACGGGATGATTATCAAGGGGAAAATGACGCTGCTCTGGAGGAGTTGTCTTACATGAAGGATCCAGGATTAATGATCCTAAAAGTGTTTTGACCCTGTGTGGGTCAAGGCAAGGAGGTGAGCGTGCATTTCTGTCACTTGTGGATACCCCCCATTACCTTACACAGTTGTATCACCTATCTTCATGAGTGATTTTGTCTATTGAATGTATGATGGTTTACACCAATTTGGACATTTATATGTGTTTACATGTTTTTACGTTACTTAATGACATGCGTTGTGTGTGATTACTGTCTTTCACGGCATGTGATTTAATTTATGCACTTTTAGCATGTGGATATTGATTTGATATTTCCTTGCCTGTTTTAGGGGATCATATTTTTTTTTTTTTGCATGGTATTCATGCATTTTGTATTAACAGGTTTACACTTTGTGCGTTTGTCACTATTTGTGAGTTTGGAGCACATTAGAAATTATAGTCCTATTTGGACTAGTTGGTTGGTTCACTTACACCTTTAGATTCTTTTAGGATCAATTGGGCACAATTAGTCCTTTTACTGGACATTTCTGGTCTGTATCACTATTTATGTAGCACCTTTTACTTGTGTTATATTTCACCTTGTATCACTTGGGAGGTTTATATTTATTCACTTATATATAATTATTTATATTATATTTTTATGAGGCATCTTCCACTTTTAGGTAGTATTAGTTGTAGCAGCGCCACATCATTTATTCTCTGTGTCTCCCTTCACCAGGTCTGTAAGTCCTCTAGAAACTGGCAGATTAATATTCAGAATTAGATTTCAAACCCAGGGATATCAAACACAGCATACCTTTGTCACCCAGGAGGGACGAGACTGCTTTCTTCCCTTTCCTATGTGCTCACATAGTCATGTATGACCTTGTTTGGCTCGGCATGAAATGATCTATCCAAATATATACCTAATATTAATGTGCCCAGTTCCGGTTGAATTTTATGAATTGTTACATGTGGAATAGATGTTTTATGGCATGCTCTGCATTCCTAGCTCTAATGGCCTAACAGGTCATATGTGACGGCTGACTAAGTTATTGTTTTACGATAAGGCAGAGGAAAGTCTCTTTGCAAAATAGACATCCTGCCACGACTAATTAGCGGTTTACAGCTCTGGAGCTAGTCTATATTTATAATTTATTTAAGATAAGAGGCTCTTTTGAAGTCCATTACAACTTACAGCTACAAATTTTATTTCAAGAGGAGGGAGGAGGGGAGAAAGATGATAGCTCATGAAAAACAAAATGGCTGAGACCTTAACAAGATGGCTGTTGCGTACAGCTTCCATGTCTCTATTGCACATAATCGTTACAGTAAGCACATAGGCAAGGAAAACACTGACCACTAGCTTCTGGGACCCGTACGTATCACGGGACTGCAGACTGGGCTCCAGGCTTCAAAATAAAACCCCTTGGTTTCAGAAAACCATACATATACATGCATCCAGGAATGATGCATCCATTCTCCCCACTGACATCAACAGTGGAGCACCATTCCCTCCCCCCCCCCAAAACCACCAACAATGGGCCACTGTTTCATCCCGTATATCCCCTGACACCAACAATGGGGCACCATTCCTCACACCGACACCAATGGAGCACCATTTTCCCCTACCAACAATGTAAAATCCATGCAGATAGTGTCCCTGGTGGAAATAAAAAAAAACGCAGGAACCTGAGCTCCAAGGCAAATACAAAATAAGATGCATGGTTAGGCTACACATTTAATACTAACCTCATAAGCAGCACCTAAGTCTTGAAATTTTTCTTGTGCTTGGGGGTCGTCTGGATTTCTATCTGGATGCAACTGCAAAGCTAGCTTGCGATAGGCCTTCTTTATATCCTTTATACTAGCTGTTCGTGACACACCCAGAATTTTATAGAAATCACGTCTACAATAAAAAAAAAAAAAAAAAAAAAAAAAAAGGAGCAGCATTCACTTTAAATTCATATCAAAAAGACAAACTGTTAATGAGACATTTTATTTCAAGAACCTAGAAAGGTTTAATGCTAGATCAAAATACACAATATTAAGCCACGTATGCACAGCTTAGCCTACAATTACGGCACCCCTCTATGCCATGATGATATGACTCTGGTGCCCATAGGCAAATGTTATAGTAGCCTGGCCATTCAAGCGGCTGCTGAACAGACCAAACCCAGAAAGAAGAGGGGGAGAAGGATGAGTCTGTGACCAGCAGGCACTCTGGAGGACATAATTTGACAGCCTATCATAATGTGATAATATGCGGTGCACACTAGCACATCGTGACATAAATCTCCTGGGGCCCACTTAATATTAATAATAAAAAAAAAATAGCAGAGTTTCATTATGTTTTATTACTTTTTATATTATATGTCAATAATGTATATAAAACTTAATGGCATGTCAATGTTTACTATCTACATAAAACACACTGTGCATATACCGGTTACACAATTAGTAGGAGAACATAACTTACCTGCCAATAAATGATTGCAAAGTAATCACTTTTAATGCAAGTTACCCTTATCCTACAAGGAATACAAGCAACTGCCAGCAAAACAGGCTTGTTTCCACCAGATACATATCATTTTATTGCATATTTGTTTAGATGCATTGTGTTGTGAAAGACCCCATTTAATTGACTTAAAGGCAAAAGTGAAGCTAAAAAAAACCCTTAAACTGCCACTGGCACAATAAAGCAGGCACTTGAGGCCAGTTTAGCACCTAGTATGGCCCCAATTTCAGAGAAAACTGGTTGCAAGCCTAGCCAAACTCCCTCTCATCCCCTAATCTTCACTATTGCTCCATTACCACGAAGTCCATCATCTCTAGCCCCAACATTAGGATTCTATTAGGCTGGGTTCTGAGGCGAGAGATGCCTAAGGAAGGTACAGCACAGGGGTGGTCATCGACAGTACACTTTCGAAACACCAGAGGCCTAGGCCACCAGATCAAGGCATGTATGCACTTGGTAAGGTGAAGGGGGGGGGGGGGTATAGTAGAATAGATTAGGCAAAGTAGGTGGACTGATTACTGTCTACTTGGTTTCAATGGATTGATGCTTGTATCCAGGTATAAAAGGAAAATGAAAATACAAAAGGACTGAAATGGCTACTTACACATGAACAACACTGATCACAGGCTCTGCACAATACACTGGGGATACGGGGTGACTAGAGGTGTTCTGCATTCCACACCAGGGCTTGAATTATACTATCAATCTATTAGTGATTCAGCAGGTTAAGCAACATTTACGTTTCACTGCACATGCCAAGTAGTAAGCAAATACTTCTCTATATATGCACACTTTACAGCCAACTTAGGCCTCAATGGGCATTGAACTCCAGGGTATGACATGTCAGCATTTTCATGTGGGCAGAGGGCATAGTTGCACCATCCAGCCCCACTGCCAATAGCCTGTAAAAGTCTATGAGAGGCTGAAAATTGCTATCGCAGGACAGTGCTTACTAATGTTTAGGGCAGTATGAGCCCAGGGATGAATGCTGGGAACGCAGACTTCTTGTGTTCCGGGAATTTTCCCTGGGCACATACTGTCCTAAATGTTAGCACCACTCAGTGCGCTGTCCAGCGGCAGCAGCTTTCAGCCTCTCCTATGAGGTCTATACCTTTACAGGCTGTCAGCAGTGGGGCTGGATGGTGTACCTGTGCCCTGCCCGCACAAAAACTCTGGGATCTCATATGCAGCACCTAAAGTCCTAGTGTGTATGAGGCCTATAGCGGACAGTGGACCTCCATTCATCTGAGAGATGTAGAACAGGTTAGATGTCAGTGCCGCACTCCACAACTGCAGACACAAAGAGAACAGCAATATATTTCTGTATCTGCTAGTGTGTGGGGCTGTGCTGACATCTGTCCTACACAAACCTCTTTTACATTATAGTGAGGATAGATGTTAGTCAGCCTAGGGCTTCAAGTGTTTAGATATCAGAACATAGTGTCCATGTAAGGGGGTTTCCTTTACATATATCCAGATACCCAAAATGTTAAAGCAGAACTCCAGAAATTATTTGGATTGCATTGTTACATTGGCCCAGCTTGGCACAACACGCAAGTATGTAGATGTCATACTTGATAGAACACTGGGGAAGCTGAAAATCTCTTTATTAGTTATTGGTACTACACAGGTAGCCATGATCCTCTGGGTTATGCTGGTGTTCTGTGGGAATGGCTTCCCCTCTGCACACTGACCACAGGGGTTTGTTACCACGGAACAGCTGCCATTCATAGAATACCCTCTAATCTTTTCAGTGAATACAAGGTATCCTCTGATTGAACACAGTGGAGATCATGATGACACTGCCCCTCCTCTCCACCACGTCCAGTCAGAAAATACCTTGTATTAAAAAACAGAGCGGTTCTATGAATGGTGGCAGTGCTGAGCAACCCCATGTGTAGTCAGTGTGCAGAGAGAAAGAAGCTCGCATAGAAAACCAGCAGGAAGATGGCAGCCATCACTGTCGTGGCCATAACTTCTACAGTGATTGTCAGCTTCAGAGGCCACTCGGGTATGAGATATACATATTTACATTGTACCAAGCTGGACCATTAGAAGTATTAAATACAAATCATACCAGGAAATCAGCTTTAAAGTTCACTGGTCATGGGAGATGCTATGGGGCAGCCATCGCTTGAACTATCTATTTGATCTGTGTTCAGATTATGGGAGATGCTATGGGGCAACCATCGCTTGAACTATTTCATCTGCGTTCAGATTATGGGAGATGCTATGGGGCAACCATCGCTTGAACGGTCTATTTTCATCTGCGTTCAGATTATGGGAGATGCTATGGGGCAACCATCGCTTGAACTGCATATTTAATGTGTTCAAACTGTCTGCTAAACAATCTGTGATCAAGCCTGGGTGAAATGTAGAGAGGGCAGTCTTGGGCCTTATCCACACAGGGCATCTGCCCATCTCTCCTAGACAGCTTTGCTGCTGGTAGCAGCGTTTAGGTAGAACAAATGCTTGGAGCTTGTAAATGGATGTGAACACTTCTAGACTCATTTAGGTGTGTCAGAAACTTGGGTGTTAATTCATTTCATTGCTAGAATAGGGCCTCATGCACACAGGGTGTTTTTGCAGCCTCTTTTAGGGGTGTCAGGTGTTTTTTTCTTTATAGCTTCTAAACACCCCTTCATGTTATCCTATGTGTCAATAAACACAGACTTTTAGAAGCTTTAGCAGCAGGGGCTTTTAGGAGCTGTTTTTTGGCTAAAAAAAAACCGCTTGACACAATTAAACACGCCTAAACGCATGCGAATGCTCGGCACATTTAGCGCTTGAGTGTTAATTCATTTCTATTTCCAGAATAAATTATTTTTCTGGCCAATGAAATGAATTACCACTAAAGTTCTTGACGCCTGTAAACGTGCCTAAATGCATGTAAATGCGTTAGACCCTTTTACCAGCGTCAGGCATTCTGCCAAAACACTGCTGTCAAGAGGAGCAACAGTTTTAAAATGTCCTGTGTGCATGAGGCCTAATCATTTATTCTGGTTATTGAAATTAACAATCAAATGATTGATGAATCTAACTAACAAGCACTTAAATGCTGCTGCTTCTGGATGTGCAGGCAGCGTTTTTTTTCCTGCCTCTAAATGTATGCATGGAAACATAGGCTAACATGCAGAGATGCTTAGAGGCAGAAAAAAAACTGCCAGAAGCCCCCTAACAGCAGCGTTAAAAACATCCAGCGTACATGAGGCTGTAGGCTGCGTTCACACTTGAGCGTTTTGTAACTTGCAGCTCCAAAAAAAGCTCAAACTTAAAAAATAAATAGTTTTCTATGAAGCCTGTTCACACCTTATGGCACAAACAGGCACCATACAGAACAATTGATTTTTTTAAGTTTGAACTTTTTTGGAGCTTTGAGCTTCCTCGCTCAAGTGTGAACGCTGCCTTAGGGTCACCATACACTTTACATTTACCAAATCTATATAATAGAAGGACCAACCTAATCAGGCAGACTCCTTCACTACAGAGCTGTTGGTAGATCTAAAAGACTGAACAATCAGATGGGAGCGTGTGTAGTGAGCTTTAGGTGGGGCAGTTGTGTGGACGTGAGCTGACATCATTGCTGAGTTGGAGGAGTGTGGTTGGGCTCCTTTTGGTCAGCCCCCAGCATTTCTGAGGCAAGGGCTTTTTCAGCAGGCTTGCAGCGAGGACATTCCACTACATGTCTTACTTTCTCACCCATGAGCCACTTCATCCAACCCCAGTGATGAGCACTCTCAGTCTACTGGCACTTAGATTGTTGCCTGCAAGCTGGAAAATCTCTGCTCTGGGTGAGGCTTAGAGGGCAATAGTCAGCAGCTGGGCAGTGGACACTTGTAGGACTGCTGATCTCCGGGATCCTACAGCTGACCTTTCTGCCATAACTGGAGACAGCAGTGACATGGGGGTCAGTAGGGGTCCATTCCCAGCAGACTTCATTTCTCCTAAACAGAGCGGTGTATGGCATCATAAGCCCCGGGAGAGGTAGGTACTTACCTTCCTTTACAGGTTTGTCCAGGAACGTTTAGTATAGTGGCAGGGCTGCTTTAAGTGTTCCATCTGTAAGCACCTGATGAAATTCTACATCAGGCAGGCAAACAAAGGATGCCAATACAAGCACATTGAGCATTCTTACTGACAATGGGGGCGATGTCATTTCAATTACTTCACATTGACGAGCTGATCTGCAGCAACCCGGTCCTATACATTCCCATCACTGGCCAATCCTCGGCTGTCATGACTGCTGTACATCCCCAGCTGGGGACACGAGCTTCTATGGGGACGTGGGACTAATACAAACCACAGCGCTCCATATTTCCGCTGCACAATGGACTTCACTGACTTACCCTGCACACACCACGCTCAGCATGTACACGACTAGCAGGCAGATGCTGCTCAATGACAACGAGCCGATCCTCATGGTGGTAGAATGAAGCCAGTCACCAGAACACAGATCCCCGGACTCCTTCGCCTGTCACCGCATCAATCAACACCGGCCGAACTTGCTTCACGTCAGTCTACACAGAGACCTCGATCTCCCATACAACAGGTATTGAAACAAGCACAGCTAATCACACAGCACAACGTCAGCTTCAGCCGGGGGGCAGACAGCCAATCACCTAACGTTCCATTTCGTTTCCGGGAGTGCCTGACCAACCACATGCATAGACATGGCAAATTACGGTTCCTACTTACTCCACCAATCGTCTTTGAGAGAGTGAACACTGCATTTCCTGCCTAGATGTGTCGCCGGTTCCGGGACGGAGCCTTATTGTTGGTTATAAAACAGGAAACGGGTGACTGACGTAAGCTGTTCTTGTAATTCAAAGTGTGTATGTACACTGGCTGACTAGTACACACAGCTCTAGAACACTTGGTAAAACAGCACGAAGAGTGATGATAATGCTGTGAGTTTATACATCAGGTTCCAGTGTGCTATAAACTTTGTAAAACCCCTGTACAACACCTTGAGAAAGTATTCATACCCCTTGAAATTTCCCACATTTTATCATGTTACAACCAAAAACGTAAATTTATTTTATTGGAATTTTATGTGATAGACCAACACAAAGTGGCACATAATTGTGAAGTGGAAGGAAAATGATAAATGGTTTTCAAAATATTTTACAAATCAATATCTGAAAAGTGTGGCGGCATTTGTATTCAGCCCCCCTGAGTCCATACTTTGTAGAACCACCTTTCTCTGCAATTACAGCTGCAAGGCTTTCGGTATGTCTCTACCAGCTTTGCACATCTAGAGTGAAATGTTTGCCCATTCTTTTCAAAATAGCTCAAGCTCTGTCAGATTGGATGGAGAGTGTCTGTGAACAGCAATTTTCAAGTCTTGCCACAGATTCTCAATTGGGTATAGATCTGGACTTTGACTGGGCCTTTGTAACACCTGAATATGCTTTGATCTAAACCATTCCATTGTAGCTCTGGCTGTATGTTTAGGGTCATTGTCCTGCTGGAAGGTGAACATCCACTCTAGTCTCAAGTGTTTTGCAGACTCTAAAAGGTTTTCTTCTAAGATTGCCCTGTATTTGGCTCCATCCATCTTCCCATCAACTCTGACCAGCTTCCCTGTCCCTGCTGAAGAAAAGCATCCCCACAACATGATGCTGCCACCACCATGTTTCACGGTGGGGATGGTGTGTGTTCAGGGTGATGTGCAGTGTTAGTTTTCTGCCACACATAGCATTTTGCATTTAGGTCAAAAAGTTCAAATTTGGTCTCATCTGACCAGAGAGCACCTTCTTCCACATGTTTGCTGTATCCCCCACATGGCTTCTCGCAAACTACAAACGGGACTTCTGATGGCTTTCAACAATTTCTTTCCTCTTGCCACTCTTCAATAAAGGCCAGATTTGTGGAGTGTACGACTAATAGTTGTCCTGTGGACAGATTCTCCTACCTGAGCTGTGGATCTCTGCAGCTCCTCCAGAGTTACCATGGGCCTCTTGGCTGCTTCTCTGGTTAATGCTCTCCTTGCCCAGCCTGTCAGTTTAGGTGGACGACCATGTCTTGGTAGGTTTGCAGTTGTGCCATACTCTTTCCATTTTTGGATGAAGGATTGAACAGTGCTCCATGAGATGTTCAAAGCTTGGGATATTTTTTATAACCTAACCGTGCTTTAAACTTCTCCACAGCTTTATCCCTGACCTGTCTGGTGTGTTCCTTGGCTTTCATGATGCTGTTTGTTCACTAATGTTCTCTAACAAACCTCTGAGGACTTCACAGAAAAGCTGTATTTATTCTGAGATTAAATTACACACAGGTGGACTCTATTTACTAATTAGGTGACTTCTGAATTGGTTCCACTAGATTTTAGTTAGGAGTATCAGCATAAAGGGGGCTGAATACAAATGCACGCCACACTTTTCAGATACTTATTTGAAAACATGTTGAAGACCATTTATCATTTTCCTTCCACTTCACAATTATGTGCCACTTTGTGTTGGCCTATCACATAAAATACATTTACGTTTTTGGTTGTAACCTGACAAAATGTGGAACATGCTTTCATAAAAACCCTGAAGACGGAAGTGAAAAGAGCAAAAACAGAGCCATATGCTCAGCCACTGCAGCTGCTCAGAGCTTCTTGAGTGTATATCTAAATTCTTGTGACAGATTTATTTCTGTCCTGTTGTTAGTATCTCACATGCACAGTGCCAGATAGCTAGTTCTGTGCTACTGTATGTGTCACTTTCCACCATATTAGGTGAAACTGTTTATTGCAATACAGTTTATATGCAGCTCCAGTTATTTTATTTAACCCTGTCCCTTTTGGTCTGGGATTCTATAGCTAGTTTTAGCTTAGGGCTCGATAGCCAGCATAGGCTAGAGCAGCCTTTATTTCATCTAGCGTGCCAAAGCACCCTGAGGTGCCTTCAGGTTTCTTCAGGGGTGCCTTGGCAAAATGCCTAAAAATTGCCAAAAAACTCTATACAAGCCAGCAGGTAAATCAAGCCTGCCTTTTAGTTACAAAAAGCCACAGGTTTTCATTGTGCACCATTACAACCTTCCAGAAGCCGACATCCTAACATCCAATGATATCAGTTGATAAGGATGATGTTGGGCCTCTGCACAGCATCCTTGTTTGCCTCTCCTCTGCCCCTTTCCATCAGCACTGGGGTCACATTAGCTTAGTGAAGGAGAGATCGTAAGGGAGAAGAGAACCACTGGAATGCAAAGGTGCTTGTCAATTTAGAAACTACTAGGGAGGGACTAAAGCAGAGTAAACAGACTCTGCAATCCAGTGCCACACCAAGGTTTCAGTGTGTGAGAAGCTGCATTTCAGGCTATTCGGACAGGAGTTGTAGGATCTCCCCATCATGTTGATCTTGACTTCCCCAAAACAAAGATGAACACTGCATTGCGACCATCATAAGGGGCCCCTTCAACTGGAATTCCACCAAGAGTCTTGTTGAGCCCTTGGCTGATAATACCTGTCTGTACTTTGTATGTTTGTATTTTTATTGATCTTTTCTTATATAAAGCTTGTATCATTTCCATGCTGGTGTGCATCCATACACTTATGGTTAATGTTATGTACTGGTTGCAGTAGTTCCTCTGCTCCCAATTACTTTGATTACAGGTGAAACTCGAAAAATTAGAATATCGTGCAAAAGTTCATTTATTTCAGTAATGCAACTTAAAAGGTGAAACTAATATATGAGATAGACTCATAGAGATAGATAGAATATAGAGATAGCTCAAGCCGTAATTTGTCATAACTGTGATGAATATGGTTTACGGCTCATGAAAACCCCAAATCCACAATCTCAGAAAATTAGAATATTGTGAAAAGGTGCAATATTCTAGGCTCAAAGTGTCCCACTCTAATCAGCTAATTAAGCCATAACACCTGCAAAGGGTTCCTGAGCCTTTAAATGGTCTCTCAGTCTGGTTCAGTAGGAATCACAATCATGGGAAAGACTGCTGACCTAACAGTTGTGCAGAAAACCATTATTGACACCCTCCATTAGGAGCGAAAGCCTCAAAAGGTAATTGCAAAAGAAGTTGGATGTTCCCAAAGTGCTGTATCAAAGCACATTAATAGAAAGTTATGTGGAAGGGAAAAGTGTGGAAGAAAAAGGTGCACAAGCAGCAGGGATGACCACAGCCTGGAGAGGATTGTCAGGAAAAAGCCATTCAAAAGTGTTGGGGACTTTCACAAGGAATGGACTGAGGCTAGAGTCAGTGCATCAAGAACCACCACACACAGACGGATCCTGGACATGGGCTTCAAATGTCATATTCCTCTTGTCAAGCCGCTCCCCTACAACAAGCAACATCAGAAGCGTCTTACCTGGGTAAAGAAAAACAGACCTGGCCTGTTGCTCAGTGGTCCAAAGTCCTCTTTTCTGATGAGAGCAACTTTTGCATCTCATTTGCAAACCAAGGACACTGAGTATGGAGGAAGAATGGAGAGGCACACACTGCAAGATGCTTGAAGTCCAGTGTGAAGTTTCCACAGTCTCTGTTAATTTGGGGAGCCATGTCATTTGCTGGTGTTGGTCCACTGTGCTTCATTAAGTCCAAGGTCAACGCAGCTGTCTACCAGGAGATTTTGGAGCACTTCATGCTTCCTTCCGCAGACGAACTTTATGGGGATGCTGACTTCATTTTCCAGCAGGACTTGGCACCTGCCCACACTGCCAAAAGCACCAAAACCTGGTTCAATGACCGTGGGATCACTGTGTTTGATTGGCCAGCAAACTCGCCTGACCTGAACCCCATAGATAATCTATGGGGCATTGCCAAGAGAAAGATAAGAGACATGAGACCGAACAATGCAGAAGAGCTGAAGGCCGCTATTGAAGCATCCTGGTCTTCCATAACACCTCAGCAGTGCCACAGGCTGATAGCTTCCATGCCACGCCGCATTGAGGCGGTAATTGCTGCAAAAGGGGCCCAAACCAAGTACTGAGTACATATGCATGCTTATACTTTTCAGAGATTCTATATTGTTCTATGTACAATCCTTGTTTTATTGATTGCATGTAATATTCTAATTTTCTGAGATTGTGGATTTGGGGTTTTCATGAGCTATAAGCCATAATTATCACAATTATGACAAATCACAGCTTGAACTATCTTGCTTTGCATGTAATGAGTCTCATATATTAGTTTCACCTTTTAAGTTGCATTACTGAAATAAATGAACTTTGCATGATATTCTAATTTTTCAAGTTTCACCTGTAGATTACCAGTCAATTTCCCAGGAAGGGAATTCCTTCACAGAGTCCCTGTCCTGGGTAGAGGCACTACCAACTTTATCAAACCCACTCTTCCAATTAAGGAAAGCTTTGGTTCTCTTACAGTGGATATAAAAAGTCTACACACCCCTGTTAAAATGTCAGGTTTCTGTAATGTAATAAAATGAGACAAAGATAAATAATTTCAAAACTTTTCCCC